TCCCTGTTTGTGAGCAGCAGGTCAAGAGGAGCACAGCCCCTAGTTGGTTCCTCCAACACTTGTACCAGGAAGTTGTCCCCAACACTCTCCAAAAACGTCCTGGATTGTCTGTGCATTGCTGTATTGCTCTCCCAGCAGATGTCAGGGTCCCCCATTAGAATCAGAGCCAGTGATCTGGAAACTTCACTTAGTTGTTCGAAGAAAGCCTCATCTATCTCATCCTTCTGATCTGGTGGTCTATAGCACACGCCCACCACGACATCACTCGTTGCTCTTGCTTCTAAACTTAACCCAAAGACTCTCAACAGGCTTTTCTCCAGTTTCATGCTGGAGCTCTGAGCAATCATACTGCTCTCTTATATACAATGCAACTCCTCCACATTTCCTCCCTGAACAGTTTATACCCATCCATGACAGTGCTCCAGTCATGTGAACTGCCCCACCAAGTTTCTATTATTCCAATCACATCATAGTTCCTTGATTGTGCCAGGACTTTCAATTCTTCCTGCTTGTTTGCCAGGCTTCTTGCGTTCATGTACAGGCACCTAAGATAACTAGCCGATTACCCTACTTTCTCAGTATGAATCAGGCGGCTTCCCGTCTTGTACCCTCCTCCTTGTGTTTCCTCCCAGTATCCCACTTCTCCACTTACCTCTGGGCTCAGGTCACCATTCCCTAGCGAACCTAGTTTAAAGTCTTCCTCACTAGGTTAGCAAGCCTGCCTGCGAAGATGCTCTTCCCTCTCTTTGTTAGGTGGATCCCATCTCTTACTAGCAATCCTTCTTCCTGGAACAACATCCTATGGTCGGAGAATCCAAAGCCCTCTCTCCAACACCACCTGCGTAAGCACGCATTCAACTCCACAATTCGATGGTCCCTACCTGGGCCTTTTCCTTCAACAGGAAGGATGGATGAAAACACGAATTGCGCCTCAAACGCCTTCCCAGAGCCACGTAGTCTGCAGTGATCTGCTCAAGGTCACTCTCGGCAGTACCATTGGTGCCCATGTGGAGAAGTAGGAAAGGATAGCAGTCTGAGGTCTTGATCAGTCTCGGCAGACACTCCGTCACATCCTGGATTCTAGCTCCAGGCAAGCAACACACTTCTCGAGTCTCTGGGTCTGGTCAGCAGATGGATGACTCCGTCCCCCTTAGGAGGGAGTCCCGGCCACCACCACCCGTCTCCTCCTTTTGGGAGTGGTGGTCATGGAACCCCCATCCCTAGGACAATGCATCCCATGCCTTCTGGCCGATAGGGTCTCCTTCTGATCCCTTCCCTCAGAGGGCTCTTCCAAATCCTTCTGTGCAGTAGTACCTGTGCAGAGAGCCTGAAAATGGTTTTGCACCTCTATCTGCATTGGGGGTACATAGGTTCTCCTCTTTCTTCTTCTGGAGGTCACATGCTGCCAATATTCTTCAAAGGATGAATATAAACAAATAACACAAGTATGTAGGGACAAAAGTAGAAAAGCCAAGGCACAAAATGAGATCAAACTAGCTAGGGACATAAAAGGAAACAAGAAAACATTCTACAAATACATTAGAAGCAAGAGGAAGATGAAAGACAGAGTTGGCCCGTTACTCAATGAGGGGGGAAAGACAATAACAGAAAATGTGGAAATGGCATAGGTGCTTAATGACTTCTTTGTTTCAGTTTTCACTAATAAGGTTGGTGGCAATTGGACGTCTAACATAGTGAATGCCAGAGAAAATGAGATAGGATCAGAGTCTAAAATAGGGAAAGAATAAGTCAAAAATTACTTAGACAAGTTAGATGTCTTCAAATCACCAGGGCCTGATGAAATGCATCCTAGAATACTCAAGAAGCGGACTGAGAAGATATCTGAACCATTAGCAATTATCTTTGAAAAGTCATGGAAGACGGGAGACATTCCAGAAGACTGGAAAAGGGCAAATATAGTGCCCATCTATAAAAAGGGAAATAAGGACAACCTGGGGAATTACAGACCAGTCAGCTTAACTTCTGTACCCGGAAAGCTAATGAAGCAACAAATTAAGCAATCAATTTGCAAACACCTAGAAGATAAAAAGGTGATAAATAACAATCAGCATGGATTTGTCAAGAACAAATCGTGTCAAACCAACCTGATAGCTTTCTTTGACAGGGTAACAAGCCTTGTAGATAGGGAGGAAGCGGTAGATGTGGTATATCTTGACTTTAGTAAGGCTTTTGGTGCTGTCTCGCATGACTTTCTCATAAACAAAATAGGGAAATACAACCTAGATGGAGTTACTATAAGGTGGGTGCATAACTGGTTGGAAAATCATTCCCAGAGAATAGTTATCAGTGGTTCACAGTCATGCTGGAAGAGCATAACGAGTGGGTCCTGCAGGGATTGGTTCTGGGTCCGGTTCTGTTCAATATCTTCATCAATGATTTAGATAATGGGACAGAGAGTGCACTTATAAAGTTTACGGATGATAGCAAGCTGGGAGGGGTTGCAAGTGCTTTGGAGGATAGGATTAAAATTCAAAATGATCTGGACAAACTGGAGAAATGGTCTGAAGTAAACAGGATGAAATTCAATAAGGACAAATGCAAAGTAATCCATTTAGGAAGGAACAATCAGTTGCACACATACAAAATGGGAAATGACTGCCTAAGAAGGAGTACTGCAGAAAGGGATCTCGGGGTCATAGTGGATCACAAGCGAAATATGAGTCAACAGTGTAACGCTGTTGCAAAAAAAGCAAACACCATTCTGGGATGTATGAGCAGGAATATTGTAATCAAGACAGAAGAAGTAATTCTTCTGCTCTACTCTGCGCTGATTAGGCCTCAACTGGAGTATTGTGTCCAGTTCTGGGCGCCACATTTCAGGAAAGATGTAGACAAATTGGAGAAAGTCCAGAGAAGACCAACAAAAATGATTAAAAGTCTAGAAAACATGACCTATGAGGGAAGATTGAAAAAATTAGGTTTGTTTAGTCTGGAGAAAAGAGAAGACAGAGAGGACATGATAACAGTTTTCAAGTACATAAAAGGTTGTTACAAGGAGGAGGGAGAAAAGTTCTTCTTAACCTCTGAGGATAGGACAAGAAGCAATGGGCTTAAATTGCAGCAAAGGCTGTTTAGGTTGGACATTAGGAAAAACTTCCTTACTGTCAGAGTGGTTAAGTATCGGAATAAATTGCCTAGGGAGGTTGTGGCCCTTGGAGAAGTTGAAAGTCTTCAATGAACCCCCCAGTACCAGAATAGCTTGGAGCCTCAATGGTACTTGCTTTGGGACTTGAGGTCTGCAAAATTGAGATGATCAAGGTTTCTCTGAAGATGACTTTCAAGTGGGAGATCTAGAGCTCCTCTTCCTTGGAGTCTTATCAGTACCCTCCATGGTCTTATCTCGTGATGCTCTTGGTGATTGGGATATGGATGTTGACAGGGACTAAATGTGCTTGAAGGCAGGTGTACAGAGGGATTCTTAAAGCCTGGATCAGAGGCAGGTCTCAGGGCTTACTCCATCATGAGCAACCTGAACTTAATTTGCCTGTTTTTCC